GAACAATATCCTGTAGTAGTGCTTGATTTCTCACCCCTATGGGAGCCATGTCAAAATACATCCAGGGTTTTTTAGGATCTCTGCTAGCATGAGGTCTCCAATAAAAGGGAATATACATAGTTCAACGTTTTAAAGATGTATGTAGCTCGTGACAAGCTACCATATGTAGCTCAGACCAAGCTAAATCCAAAAGCGCTATGGGATTCCTGGAAGCTTAGCATTCAGATAAATCAGCCTTCAACGGACACAGAAATGAAGGACACACCATTCAGAAAAGACAATAAAAAGCTAAAAAAGAAACAAAATGACCAGAAGACATCCTCTCCAGTAGCCTTCACCTAGATAAGCAGAGGCTAATACCAGATAAACAATCAAGCAGAAAACAATCAAGTAAAAAACTATCGAGGAGAAAAAATCCCACCAACACAGGCAGAGCAAGCTACTGGGTATAAACAGGTAACAAATTCAACTTCACCAGCACTGATGATGATACTGAGTCAGGTATAACGGAAACAACCAAGCTCAGAGAACAAAAAGGGCTCTACAATGTGTTGCCTGCAGAAACCTCTCCGTCTTGTTCACAATCTCATTTTTCTCTGCAGGTACGCAACACAAGCCAGACTTTCTCCTTTACAGTGGAGCAGGAGACACCCATCCAGGGTCTGAAGCCTGCCTTCGTCAAAGTCTATGATTATTATGAAACTGGTGAGAAGGGACTGAATGGTGGTAGTTCCAATCAGCTTGTTTAATTAATTATTTTTCAACATGAGGTTGTTCGGAATTTTTTTCTTCCTTTTGCATTGGGAGGTTTAGGGCTCAAAAAGGGGAAAAATTAACAGCTTTCGGCTTTGCCGAAAGGGGGCATGTGTTTGGCCCTTACAGCAGGGATCCGCAACCCCTTGGCCATGGCCCTGTACCAACCAATGGGCTATTCAGAACTGAGTTCTGTGAGAAGCAGGCTGGCACGCATGCACATGTAGCTCAAGTGAGTGGTGGATTGGTGCATGAGCGCACATGCACGCGTCTTAACTCACATAAGTTGAGCTACCTGCCTGTGTGTGCGCGCGCCAAGCCACTGCTTACGTGGCCTGGTTCCCCCGTCCCTCACTGCAAAGGTTGGGAACTGCTACCTTAAAGCACTGCTTGGTGGGGAAAATCCATCAGATTCTTGGGGAGAGTTCAGGATTTTTAATGAGAGATAAAATTATCTCTCGCACCACATTTGCATGTAAAATTAGAGGACAACCCCTTTGTACTCCTGGAGCAAAATCCGTACCATGAACCATATGATGGAGATCAAAGTCTAGGAGAGAGACACCTCAGCCCTGACAAACTTTCCTTTTTTGTGTTCCAGGTGAATTTGCAACAGCCAAGTACACTGCCCCCTGCAGTACAGGTAAAGCATGAACTGCCATTGGCTCAAATGTTTTTTAGTTACATGTACTCCTCAATTTACGACCATAATTGAGTCCAAAACCATTCATTTGGTTACTGTTCAAAGTTTCAATGACACGGGAAACAGTGACTTACGATAGTTTTTGCCATTATGACCATGGCAGCATTCCCTTGGTCACTTGATTAAAATTTGGATGCTTGCTAATATTTATGATGGTTGCAGTGTTCTGGGATCACATGGTTACCTTTTGCGACCTTCTGATGACCAAAATCAATGGGGCAGTCAACCATATTAGTAGCTTAACAACTGCAGTGATTCACTTAACAACTGTGGCTTGAAAGGTTGTAAAACTCACTTAACTCACTTAGCAATAGGAACTTTGGGCTCAATTGGGGTTGTATGTTAAGGACCACCTATCGTTACTTCTCTGGCTTCTTTTAGAATGACAATTTCTCCATTTAGTTTGTGTGCGGACAAAATGAGGAGGGGGTGATTTCATTTGGGCGTTCTGCCTCATGCCCACCTAAACTTTGTTTTTTTTAATCAACTTTTCTTACTTTCTTACTTACTAACTTTTCTTCCATGACAGATGATATCAAGGAAGTCCACATATAAAGCATAAGGATTCAGCTCATGTTTTCTGGAATAGCACATTATCGGAAAGAATGAATCTCGTAGAAACTAAGGAGGAATATGATTTTATATACAAACGTATTAAATGCTCAGTACTAAAAGGTTTTAATATTTGGATTGTAACACGTTTTTTTCAACTGTAAGCCACCCAGTGTCATTGACTGAAATGGGTGGCTATAGAACTTGAATGAATGAATGAATGAATAAATAAATAAATAAATAAATAAATGTTTTCAGGATCAAGGTAGCTCCTTTGTTTTTCTTCTCATAGCTGGGCACTTTATTGATTATTTCCCAAAAGAGAATCAAATGTATATTTTCACCAGTCCTGGTAGCAATTTAAATGGCATGCTGTAGTGCTGAAGACTTTGTCTTTCCAATTTTGGGGTGGGGTAGGGTGGAGAATAGGGAGATCTTTTCTTGGGTAAAAATAAAAATGTAATTTTATGTTCAATTGGGTATCTCAAATACTGCTATGTCTTACAAATGCTGGGCAGCTTTTTTTTCCACTAAGCATTCTGCAATTCTTTGCTGCATGTATGATAGTTTTAAAAAAAGGTGTCCATAATTTAAGGAAAAAGAAGGGTCAATCCATCTAATTAAACTGGACAGGCAATACAATTAGTTGAGCTATATCTCACCTACATTACTACATCCAATTTTGGTTCCCACACTGTAAAAAAGATGTTGAGACTCTACGAAGAGTGCAGAGAAGAGTAACCACGATGATTAGGGGGCTGGAGGCTAAAACAGACAAAGAATGGTTGCAGGAATTGGGCACGACTACTCTAGTAAAGAGAAGGGCCAGGGATGACTTGATATCAGTGTTCCAGTTGTTAGTGATTGGGGATAAACCCCCGAGCAGAGTGCACAGCAGCAGTCTAACCAGGCAGCCAAATGAGAGAGAGAGGCTGGGCCCAAGAGTATACACACACTTGAGACAGAAACACTGTTTGTGGTTTTAAATAGATATTTAATTCACACAGAGATTAAGAATAGTCATTCAGTCCATATGTCAGTATCCAGTATATCCATCCAGTTACCTAGTCTTTTAACAGTAAATACAATGTCTTTATCTGCTTGTAGACCTTCTTCTTCCGATACCTTTCTCTCAAAGACAATGCTGAATATGAACAGCTCACCAAGTAAACACAGTCCTTTTGTTCAGTAGAGAGAAGTATCTTGCACAGTAGACTTCTCATACAGGAGTAGGCAGACAGACAGCAGACAGACCAGAGACTAGTAACACCAGGAACCAGGAACTCGAAAACAGGATCAGAAACCAGGAAGTGTTACGTCTCTCTCACTGCCTCTTATTGCAGCTTACAACCGCACCCATAATTATGCAATGACATTGCAGTTTTGAGCTTAAAGCTGCAAATACTTAAACCTAGGTTTTATATATTCATTCACCCAAACCAGTTGGTGTATTCATATACCCAACATACTCCCCTTTTGGGTGACATAAATATATAATGCCTTTACAATCTGAACCCATATTTTTCACAACTCTCTAGGTGCTTGATGGCACCTTGGGCTTTAGTAAAATTATCAGCTATATTGTCCTCCGACATACAGTACTCTAGCTGTATCAATTTACTATTTACAGATTGCCTTACATTAAGATACCTCAAATCTGTATGTTTACTTCTCGTTTTAACTGCAATATTAGTGGCCATTTGAATTGCTGTCTGATTATCTTCATGTACAACTATAGGGTAATTTACAGTTATACCCATATCCTTCAACATTTGTTTGTACATAATTAACTCAGTACACAATAAAGATAAACAGGAGAATTCTGCCTCCATAGTAGACAAACTTATATGCTGTTGCCTAATTGACTTCCAACCAATTAATGTCTTACCCAGCATTATGGCTGTTCCTGAAGTCGACTTTCTAGTATCTCTTTCTGCTGCAAAACTAGCATCTGCATAAGCACTCAATATGAGATCACCTTCTGGTTCTAAGTACAGGGCATGGTGTAATGTTCCTTTAAGATATCTTAAGATTCTTTTCAATGCTATCCAGTGACATTGAAGCAGGTCATTATTGTGTCGTGCCAGCTGATTAATACTAAAAGCTATATCTGGCCTTGACCAATTGCTAATATATGATAAGCTACCAATCAAAGATTGATACAGTTCCTTATCACATTTGGGACTTTGTGTATCCATTTTGCAAATATCCTGACTCATTGGAGTCTTTGCAGGCTTACAAAGTTCCATCTTATAATCTATTAGCAATTTAGATATCTTATCTTCCTGAGATATCTTAAAACCTTTCTGTGTTCTCAATATATTCAAACCTAGATATCTCTTTATCTCACCTAATTGCTTGATTTTTATCTTCTTACCTAATGATGTGATTATTTCATTTGCTTCATCATTAGTCTTAGTTATCAGAGCAATATCATCAGTAAACAACAATAATAATGATATTTTCCCATTCTTTTCTCTCTTAAATAGACATGGGTCGGCTAAACCAGCTTTAAACCCTATATTGTTCAGTTCCTTCACAATATACTGGTTCCATTCATAGCCCGATTGTTTAAGACCATAAAGGCTCTTCTTTAATAACCAACAATCATTATCATTATTATTGTCTCCTTTAAATCCATTAGGCCTTTTCATATACACAGTATGTCTTAGTGGAGCATGCAAGTAAGCAGTTTCCACATCTAAATGGTTAACAATATATTTCTTGCTTGCTGCCCACACTAATGCTGCCCTTAAAGTTGCTGCTTTCAGACTAGGTGCAAATACTTCATCATAGTCTTTTGCACTTTGTCTAAAGCCTTGGGCTACTAACCTTGCCTTATGGATTGTGTTTCCATCCTTGTCTGTTTTTATCTTAAAAATCCATTTGCAGCCAATGGGTTTTTCATTACTAGGTAATCTTACGTTTTCATACACCTTCATATCCTTCAAAGATTTCAATTCTTTATTAATTGCTGCATACCAATTTTCTTTCTCTTTAGAAGGATATCTTTTAATCTCATCCACAGTATTTGGGATTCTATTTTCCTGGCACAGTGTGTTAGCCTGGTATCTATCAGGCGGTCTAGATACACGTGTAGTCCTTCTGGGAATTACAGGGCTTGTATGAGGACTTTCTTGAGTTACTACCTGGTCCTTTTCCTCATCTTGCTGAGCTATTTCTTCCTTTTCTTCTTCTATGGGCACAATCTCTTCCTGTACTTCTCTCTTTACTTTATTTTTAAAGTTACAGGGATACTTGATGGGATTTCTGTAGGATTCAATAACCACTTCTTTATTGTTATCCTGCTCTAACTTATCCCATCCTACGTGCTCTAGAAATTGGGCATTGGCACTACATAACACTCTAGATGTGCCTTTCTCCCAAAATCTATATGCCCTATGGTTAGCTTGGTAACCAACAAAGAAAAATTGTTTAGCTCTGTGTTGCCCTTTACGCCTGAGTTGTGTAGGGATATGCACCCATGCTGGTGCACCAAATGTGTGCAGGTAACTCAAATCAGGTTTCCTGCCATGCCACATGGTGAATGGTATTTCACCAGTGGTTGAGTTAACAACATTATTTAATAAATGATTAGCACACATTGTGGCCTCCCCCCACAAAGAATCAGGTAACCCAGAATCAGTTAACATTGTTCTAACCATTGCCTGTAGTGTTTGGCCTCTTCTCTCTATATATGCGTTGTGTTGTGGTCTGTATGGTGCAGATTTCTTATGAGCTATTCCAGCTGCCTTTAATCTATTTTGGAATTTGCTGTTAACAAACTCCGTACCATTATCTGTCACCAGGGTTATCAGTTGCAGTTTGGTTTTTTTTTCAGCAAACTTTAACCAGTTGAAGAAATGTTGATATGTTTCAGTTTTGCTTTTCATTAGGTAGCAAAACCCATATCTAGAGTAATGGTCCATAATGCTCAGTATATATCGAGCACCCCCCATACTGGGTTTCTTTGGACCTATAATGTCTGCAAATACTACTTCTAAAGGTTCTTTAGTTTTGAAACCATTTAGCCTATTTGCAGGCATTATTTTACTCTTATCTTCACAACAGACATTACAACGCAAATACTTATCACAGGGTTTTAACCTTATTCCTTCAGATAACTCTACTGTACGTTTTAGCATTTTAAAATTTACATGCCCCAAACGCCTATGCAATAAATGGATACATTCATCATGAGGCTTGATATTATTAAATACAGTCTGTGCCTCCCCTTTCTTACTGTCATGTAAGACATATAATGTTCCATTTAAAGCAGCAGTTACCTTTTTGCCATCTCTTTCCAGTATGCACTTATTATTCTTAAATGTAACCACATATCCTAGTTTATCTAATACACTTACAGAAAGTAAGTTCATTTTTAACTGTGGTACATACAACATCTTTATATTCTGGTTTAAACATGGACAATATGCAATACCTTCACCCTTGGCCTTGAGGTGCCAGCCATTGGCGAGTGATATACGTTGTGAGCTTGTAGACATTTTTATAAACTTTGTCTTATCTCTCGTGATGCAGTGGGATGCTCCACTGTCCACCACCCATATATCATTCTTCATATCACAGTTGCTGTATGTGGCTAGTTCAAAGGATTTCTTTGGCTTCCTTACATTCTGGCGTTTTCCTTTCCTGCAGAATCTTGCCAAATGTCCTCTGCCTCCACAATTAAAACACTTTTTAATTGTGTATGCCGTTGAAGATAACTTCTCTTCCTCCGGGTGCTTTACCTTGCATAGCTGGTTTCTTTCAGGTTTTGAAGATAATTTCTCTTCCTTATTAGGCTTATCTTCCCTCAGCTGGTCACGTTCACTCCTTCTTCTGGCTTCTTCTAATAGACTGCCAGTTATCTCAGTTACTGATAAACTGTCTTTAGGCAATACCTCTAATGCAGTCACAAAATCATCATAGCTTCGATCCAAAGAAGACAGTATAATGTATACTTGTTGCAACTCATTAAATATAAGCTCTTTTTCTTGTAATTCTTGAAAAATGATTTCATACAGTTTAAATGAGTTAACATGTCTCCATTTTTCTCAAGATGTGTTCTAAACAGCTTCCGTGTAAGATTGATATGAGCTCCTACACTGTCTCGAACATAAACCTTCTTGAGATTATCCCAGCACTTGGCAGCACTATCCTCTCCACGAATATGTATCAGTTGCTGGTC